TTTTTGGTTAGGATCTTCTTCCTATCTTTGCTAACTTCTTTGAACTGAGTGGAATTCAATTATCCTATTACATGATTGGTAAACCCTCCTCGAATCGACCGGTGTCCACGTGTTCGAGGAATACTGCGGAACTTCCAAAGGGACCTGATTGCATTTAAGGACTTCGCAAAGTAAACAGTCGCTTGGTTCTTCAGTTGACAATGAAGAAACCAAGTGATCAAAGCCCACTGTACCTACTGAACTGAAGCGGGTTGGGAATTGGGAAATGACGCATTCAATGTCCAAACACATTGTATTAGAATTAGATTTTATAACCCAATGTTTTGGTTGCCGTGTGCAACCATTTTTCAAGGATTCTCACAATCAACTGTGTACGAGACAGGTGCCAGGGATCAGTCTCTGTTGTTGTTGTATCGGGTGTAGCGCGTGATTGTTAACGTTTCGGCAGGTGACAACGAATTTCAAGCGGGAAAGGACTATTGAATGTGATGTCAGTTGAGATTTTTTGCATTTTCACTCGAAGCGACACTCGTGATTCGCACTTAACAACTCGTAACGCCAGACGAAGCTGGTATTTACCATGATTTATCGCGCAAGCTAAACTGAGATGACGTCCTATAGGAAGCACGAAATGATATCAAAGTTCTCTGCACATAGCCACGCTGTTTTGTTGTTTGCTGTCAAAACAGAGAGAATGCAGGTAGGTCGCTTTCCGACTTGTTTATCGTACCTGACACATCGCTCAGGTGTGATAAACGGGCGCAAAACACTCATTTGCATACTAACTTGGTTTTGACGGATGACTCATTTGGAATCCAGCTGAATCTCTCGCTTATGATGTTTTTAAGCGGCTCGTTCTGGGTGAGTCTCCCGTCAAAACCGAATTGATACGCAAATGAGTGTAGTTGTCGATTCTCACCTGATTGTTTCGGCCATTCCAAGAACAAAAAATACGTACGGAACTAAAAGAACTTGATGAATCTCAAGATTGACCAAACCGGTTGTAGGCTGTTGAGGAGTTTATGAGTAGCGGATTACGTCTACGCCTGATAAATTAGTTGTGCTGGTTAAGTATTGCCAACACGTTGCTTGTGCATTTCAGATTGCCTGAATTCGAATCTCGGCACTCTAATATGAGTAAAACTGATCTCTGGTGCCTCGCTGGTTTGTGTGAACTTAGTAGTATAATTGCGCGAAAATCGATGGAGGTTTGCTCCTACTGACAGTAGTACAAACGGAAAAATCAAAGTCTACAAATGAATGGGTTCCGCGGCCTTATCAATACTCAGTCTGCAAGACTAAGCGGTGAATAGCTTCTGAACCTTGGTAAGCGGTATGGATTCCATAAATAAACCAGCTGGGGGCACATCAGTACAGCACTATCACCAAAATGTATTTTTTGATCGTTCCTAAATTCTTGACCAATAGGCGGGCTGACAGTCCTATTCTGTATGAGATGTACTCATTCGCAAAGGAAGCAAAATATACGAAATATGATTTTTATAAAGTGAGTCACAACACTGAACAAAGGTATGGAGGTGTAAGGTGTGCGATAAAGTCAACAGGTGAGTCGACACAAACAGTCGCGCAAGATAACGAAAAGAAAGAAGCGGCGTTACCCGTAGATTGTGTGTACTGATGCCACACACGCACATACAAGAACTATTCTTCCGCTTGGTCACATGTACAAAACAACACGTGTTTAGCCAAGAAGAATGCACACAAAAGTTGTATATCGATCAACAATCCTCTGGTGTTGTGTACTCTGGACTCTTATCGATCGGCCCAATAAATCTTGTGCTTCGCACAGCAGTTTGGTGAGTGCGAAATTCAAGTTGTTTTGCGGTGAATTTCTAATGATGGTTTCTTCTGAGATCTAGACAACTATATTTTTCCCGTAAAAAACAACCGGGTTTTTAGGTGCACACGAATAATATCTTGCTTAGTTTTTTCAGGTTCGTGCTTGACGAAGCTAAGCGACTGAAGAAGAATATCGTCTCTGATGCAAAATGTTTCGGTGTATTGCAGGTGTGCACCGAGATGTATTGCACATTAAGAAGTCAAGTTTTACTCGTCCTGGTAACAAACGGAACGTTTAGTCTCTGAGTAGCAAATTCTGGGCTGAGTACTTCAACGCCAGCATCCACCAGAAACGTGACCCTAGAGGGACCGGTAAGGAAATAAAGTGGCACTTGGTTCATGGAGATGTAGTGTACATGTCAACTGAAGATCTCTCAAAAGAGATTAACTGAAGGGCCCTTAATCTGAGCCAGGCTGACCAGAAGCCAGGTATGATGAAAGATTTTGTGGTTGTAACGAATCAAGTGTCTTGATTAGCAAGTATCAACCAGAGAGACGGATTGTGGATTGTGGAGGTAGTGAAGCCTGTTCGTAGAATAACGAAATCACTTTAGTTTAGTTTAGTTTTAGTTTAGTTTTACTGAAGTGTTCTTGCATTGACCGTGTATGACTCGGATCAGTCTTGTTGGGTAAAATGTGAACATGGCTATACTGTTTTCAAAACATATTTCCAAGACGATCCACTATAAAGAAGACAAACAACAACTCTTGAAGTCAAACACGTAACCTGAAAAATAGAATACGATAAATTTCTATCGCGATTCCCAACGGACGTGCTGGAATGGTAAATCCACAAGTTCCCAGTGGTGGGAAAATGCACTGTCGGAGGAACTCAAAGCATCTCTGACTTGTCGACAAAATAGCGTGGTTGACAGAACAGTACGCCTAACGGCTGAACAATGACATTCGACTACGGGTGGCTCCTCAGTAATGTATTTGACTTGCAACAAGATTAAAGACGATATCACTATCTCTCAGTCACGCACTCCACTTTTCTAGCTGTTCCAGTGGCGCTTCCGTTTGGGCAAGGCATGATCCAATTGCGTACTTACATCTTCGCCATGTGTTCCAAAGAGAAGATGGTAAGAGGAGAGTAACTCAGTTAGCATGGTGAATACCTGATGAAAGCTTCAAAATTACCCCGTACTCACAAATGCGGCTCAACAGTTCCAAACATCCAAATTGAGAAAGTCTCTAAGTTCGAGAGTCCCTCACATTAGGGACCACTGTATGTGAATATTTCTAATAAGGTTCATTTCGTCCGAGAAGAGCTAAAATAATGTCTGGTCACGAAGGAATGCAAGTTTGAACCGATAAATTCCTCTTTTAGATGATACTTTTGGAGTTGACTTCCTATATTACGCGTTTTAGTTTCTTACGTCAACAGAATAAAAGAGAGGCAACCACCCAATACTGGGCAAGTTTAGGAATGATTGCCAGTATCCGGTTCATATCAGTCGAATGGAACATAAAGAAATGAACAAAAAAGATTATTCCGAGAGTACTATCCACGTTAGTTTTAGTTTCTTACGTCAACAGAATAAAAGAGAGGCAACCACCCAATACTGGGCAAGTTTAGGAATGATTACCAGCATCCGGTTCATATCAGTTGAATGGAACATAAAGAATTGAACAAAAAAGATTATTCCGAGAGTACTATCCACGTTAGACCTTTATATTCCATCTATTGCTTATAAAACATGGGTGCTGACTTCGCAAGTTTCGAGGGGCACGATAGACAGTTAGCGATGAAACCAATTCACAGGTGAACTCAGGATATAATTCTACAGCAAGTATTCAGGCCGCAGGAAAACGAATTGATTCCACAAATCCAAGACGAACTATCAAACTGATTCGACAATTTAGTGCTGACAACTCTTAGAATTGCTAGAACTGCCAATTAGTTGTACAGAATTAATCAAAATAGTAAACCTCTGTCGAATATAATGAATGAAGATACTGAAAACGACAAATACCTATGTTCTAGGATATTCCAAATTGAAAACTTATAGTTTATGTACAGTGAGCTTAACAGTTAAGATAAAAATAATGCACGGCTCCACATTATTCAGTGTTTGAGGCGAATGGTCTGAGGTTCGAACCCAACGTTGGCAATTTGTCTGCCCTTGTGTAGGCTTGAGAAAGCTGACAGATTTTCACGCCTATTTTCTAACTCCAGCTGCGCGATACAAAATGGCTTAAGGTCCAACCATAAGTTCCCCTTATTTTACACATTTTTTTTAATTTTTCGATATGAATATGAGTCCTTAATCTTGAATGCAAGAGACTGGAGAGTGGTTTTCGTTTGAGAAACACCAGTGTTACTGAAGTGTCACAAAGCTTCATCATTCAACCGAGAGCAGATGCAAAGACGTGCTATTAACTTGCCATTCGGCCAGGAGACAGTGCCACTCGTACTGATTCACAGAACAAAGTAAATTCGATGAACCACAAAATGGCAGGCTCAAAATGATACCGGTAGCTGGGACACATATGCGTCATTAAAACGCTTGTTTCGGTGCTGATAATGTTGCTGACTGAATGCAACGGTGCACTTTAGATCCGAGCGTCTGCAACGCATGTAAAGCTGGGTTACAAATTTCTTGAAAATGAAACTACTTGACGTATGAGGCGATGCATGGCAACCACATGATAACACGATGCCCGGCAAGTGGTAGTAACCTTCGAATTTCCATCAAACTTATGGTACGTGCGTAGTAAAATAGTTTGATTTCGAGTTTTATTAGGCCGTAATGGGTGACATGATGTGTACGGTATTCTTCCGGTCGAGGGTCTTCCACAAAAGCGATCTCATTTTTATGGTTTATGACATTAAAGAAACATCACATACGAGAGATTCAGCTGGGTTCCACGTGAGCCTCCCGAAAAACCAAATTAGTTTGCACATTAATGTATTTCCCTGATTTCATACAATTTGGTTTCAAGGTTGATGGAAAATTGGGGACTACGCCTACCTGATCAGTCCCAAGAAGGGCGAAACCGATCGTGGGCTGTCGACGAATTTTCAGCAACCTTATGAGTAGTGCATTACAGATATATACATACATCAAGATATCTCGGATACCGTAGCGACGGAAACATGAGGTGACCTGGTGCAGCACATTCAGTTGCCCGGAGACATGAAAACCGAAAGATTCACTCGGGTTCCAGGTGAGTCTCTTGCAAAACCAAATTAGTTTGCAAATAAGTGTATTTCGCTAACAGGGTTGAGTTTCAACTTAATGCCCGCTTAAGTAGGAAATTGGTGCGCACAACTTGGTGCTCAACTAGGCTGATAGTAACTAGGATACTGCGCTCGATCTGATTGGCTTCATAAACTCGTAACCGAAACAGTCTGTCCAGGTAATCGTGAAACCATGTTTTGCGGCCTGTCCTTGGATGAATGCGCATAGTTCAGCACTGGTGCACACTTTACTGGTATTGCAGTTGTGGCCAGGCTTTGCTAAAAATCTGAGAAACACTGCAGGGCCGTTTCGACTTTACTGGGAATTATCGGCGGTGTGCACTTCACGAAATTCCAGGAGTTTCGAACTCGTGTCTTCTCGGCTACTAGGTTAAACTTTGAGCTGTTCGGCCAGGACAGGATTATAACGTCAGTCATTCTTCAATCACGGGATTCATATCATGTGTTCACGTGTTGAGTGGCTCCTCGGGTGATCTTTTCTTTGATGATAGTTCCACTATGAGCTACTTATCCACTGTTGATGGTGTTAGGAGATAGGGGATTTTTAATGGAGATTTTGTACTTCCGTCTGAGAACTCATCAGTTGAGGAGCTAGTCTACATGTCTGATCTCCTGATGCGAGTCATGTGATTGAATGTCGCGTGGCGCTATATCGTGCCTGAGTACAATTTAAGCATAATGCTGACCAGCCGTTCGTGGCTGAACAATTAGATGTTCAAACTAAGGGTCTAGAGTTTGCACGATCGATACTTCTTTGAGTTTCGTGGAATATGCGCTGTGCATTATTTCCATCTGTACAGTGATTCTTGGCTTTTCAGTATAGGTTAACTTCACTTACATGACAAGATCACCACGGAAATTCTCGAATACCCTCAAATTAACCTGAAAGAAATTTGTTTACCTGATTATGAATGTCGGGTCGTAGCTATGCGACAGTATGCTTCACAGCAGCTTCTGTCTGGCTAGAGCTTTTCAGTATAGGTTAACTTCACTCACATGACAAAATCACCACGGAAATTCTCGAATATCCTCAAATCAACCTGAAAGAAATTTGTTTACCCGATTATGAATTTCGGGTCCTAGCTATGCGACAATATGCTTCACAGCAGCTTCTGTCTGGCTAGACGGCGTCACAGATTTAGTAAAAGTCGACTAAAACTGATACCGTTGTACTCAAATGAACAACAAAGTGTGCGTTATCTTAGGGATCGCGAGAAGCGGGGTAGACATTTTAGCTTAAAGCGTATTTTTTCGTCTTTTTTCGTTTACCAAGCATTCTGCCCGAAGCAGATGTTATCAAATGCACCAAGCTGGGAAACTTGATGAAAAAAGTGCTTTTCCAACTAAACACTAAGTACGTCCCATCGACTGGTGACGAGACGTTCGCAAGCTCGTCTTCAATATCGGCCAGTCTAACAGATCACCAAAGCCGATAGCTTCAAACACACTCAAAGGACACTCGGTATTACCATTGGCTATGGACACACTAAACTTCAGGTAGGCTAATCCAAGTAGACTTCATTTGTTCTGCTCATCTTTCAACTCTCTAACCAACATCTCATGGTATCCATGCAGTTTGCTTGTCCGCGGATTATCTTCCTGAATTAAACCCGGATCAACGACTGACCAAGAGGATTTGTGGAAAACATTCACCATTTCAAGCTTTCTAATCCTAGTTGGCTATTGGCTGGTTGGACGCTGACAGTGAGGATTAGTTTGGTCAGATTAGGCCAGGACGCTGAAGAAGGTGTGTGATGAAAACTAATAAGGAAACACTAATAAGGATACGTTTACAACTTGCAGCTTCAAGCGCTCCAAGCTCCAGAATTAGACAAAAATTTGCGAAAAGAATATAGGCGAATGTTTCATTAAGTTGTCTTGTTCATCACGGTTTTGCTGAGCTTGACTTGGGCATGGCTTCGGGTATCATCCAAAAATACAACCTTTAAGTTCAAAGCCCAACAGGACCGCATAATGCCGTTTGATTTGTAAGATTCATGTTCGATTTGAAATAGTCTACAATCCTATATGACTCAAGTGGTTAGAGCGCGAATTTACTGAACGTAAGGTGCGTGGTTTCAACCCGACCTCTGCCTCTCGACTTCCTCTGTCTAAGCTTGGGCATGGCGTATCCCCGACCTCGTGCTTCCTTCAGGTAGCACGGCAGCTAGGTACCAAAGGGTCGCTACAGCTGAACGATCATTATTATCATTATTGGTCCACGACCCTGTCAAATATGCCTCATCTGCAAGTATCTAAAACGTGCAAGCCAATAACGGAGAACCGGTAATTTTAGAAGGGAACCCCATTAATTACGAGGTTGTGCTGGTAAGTCAGCCCTTAGTGAAACTGAACGGCTTTGTGTATTTTGTCTTCAAGTGGCAAACACGACACACTGTATATCGGGAACAAATCACGCAGTCTAATCACCAATGTGCCGACCAAAATATTGAGAATCTAAGACAAAAAAATGGCCGTTTAATGTGACACAAACCCAGTCGGTAAAGGACAATTTCATAAAAGAAACTACTCACAAGGTTGCTGAAAACTCTTCGACAGACCACGACCGGTTTCGCCCTTCCACTTCGGGCTCATCAGGTAGGCGCAGTTTCCGTCAACCTTATGATCTACTTGAGCCCCAATTGGACTGTTTTTGAGAAATTCACTCATTTGCAAATCAATTTGGTTTTCAAGAGAGACTCAATCAAATCTCTCATTCACGATATTCCACAACTGAATGTGCTGCACGCAGGCTGCCTCACGATTCAGTTGGCAAGATATTCGAGATATCGCAGTATATTTTAATAAAGGAAGAGTTTTCAGCAACCTTGTGAGTAGTTTCCTTCATGAAAATATTTTGCGATATCTCGAATATCGTGCCAACCGAATCATAAGGCGGCCTGTGTGCAGCACATTCAGTTGTAGAATATCATAAACAAGAGATTCAGTTAAGTCTCCTAGGTGAAAACCAAACTGATTTGCAAATAAGCGTAGGTGAAAACTAAACTGATTTGCAAATAAGCCTAATTCTCGAAGGACAATTTCACTTCATTTTAAGTGATATTTCTCCCACTTTTCAGTAGCATGTGGTGACTGAAGAGTAAACCAACACATAAGCCTCAGAAATCAGCGATTTTTATACCTTTCGGAGATCCGTGGAGTGGAAGTCTCCACCGGTCAGCAACATACGGAATACTCGCAGGAATGAATTTCAGCCAATTACTTTCAATCTCAAGTTTTAAAACCCAGTGTATGTCCCCATTTAATGAGATAGCCTTGAGTCTCTCGGTTCTACAAAGCTGATTGGGGAAGGTACGCTGAGATCTTCAAACTACGAACGAATCGTCCGCATAGTTGAACAGCTTATTTTGCACGTGAAACGGTTGCAAACATTTTGTCGTATGAATTTCTGATCTTGATACAGTCGGCGTCTTTGTCCTATCCAAATCCAGTACAATCAGACTCACTCAAATGGATTTTGTCCGCTTTCTACGGCGTCCGAATTTTTTCGAAATTCCGGTAAACGTTAATATGATAATGGTGAGCATGGAATAGAGTAATAAAACTGACAGTCCAGCGTGAAATCCAATGTTGAATTCCCCTTGTTCGTAGTAGATATATCTGGGGGGAACATGGAGCGCTTCGTTCAAGGTAACCTGTTCTGCAAACGGTAGCAGCGTGGAAAAACTCAGGGTCACAACAAGTAATGTGTGCAACATCAGGGTCGTAAGATGGGGCCAAGTGTTGGACAGGTTATTTATAATAGATTTATATGATACAAAACTCAAGGTAATCTGCCTCACTTGCTTCTTGTCCAATAGGGTTTTGTGTGACCTTTTAAATGTGCACCCAAATCAGATCATACACAACCCTTCTCATTGCACATAGTTCTCAGTTTGCTTGGTGTTTTTAATTTGTGGCGACAAATATTTCAGTTGTCGTTGTACAAGTCGTAAACGCCCGGAATTCGGTGAACGTCAGGTTTGTTTTTTAAGAGTGGTAGGTGATGCACATATAATCTTTGTAGAGTAGGATTAAATCCCTAATAAGTAGTATGTTACAACCCGGTATGGATTGTCCTTTGGCAATACTCACATTATCAGGCGTATAAAAAAGACCAGTCCAATGGAGTTCTCGCTTACAATCAAACAAGCTCTTATCTGATCCCTTTAGAACCTTCGTTCAAGTAGCCAGTGTAATTTTGTACATTTGCCGATTTACCATTTTGTTCTCACTAAATTCCGGATTCTTGTTTAGAGGCTGACGGCTTCCTAGTTATCCGCATTATAATGTAGCCCATTATTCTGAATACTTGCAGAGAATCAGCCGAAAATTCAGAACTACTCTACACCTACTTGCATTCTTTTAAGTCACCCTGATTTGGGCCAGTTCAATCCATGCAACGTTTAACCACGTTAATCACTTTCTATCGAGAAAAGGGGTGGGAAAAAGTGTTATTCACCGGGAATATTTCACCACTCTGAACGACGTTTATTTTTAAAAAAAATCCAGCTATTAATTTTAAAGCTGTCTATCCATATTATTCATGGTACGTTTCCATGTGTCAGTGATGTATGCTCAAACTCAGTGATTCTGGCAATTATTCCCAAATTTTCCTAAACGTTTTTCACCTCAAAGTCAACACTATCTGAAGATACTTGAATCGTTCTACGGGTGAAATCTCTGCTGATCTTTAGATGCATGTGCCATTGGTTCATTTGCGTTCTTTAACGCCACAAGAATGAAATATTTTTCAGAAATTTCCTCTGGGTGTCATACATGGGTGACAGTCTTAATCTCTCGTCGGAGGTATTCGATGAAGCATGTTTTTATGGTTGAATAACCAAAAACCTGTTTGCTAATAAAAAAACCAGGGTTTTTATCACACAACGCTTCAAGGTCCATGTTAAACAAGGCACATCAAGCGGGAGACCCTCTTAACGACCTACACTACACGGAAGTCATCCGAATACGCATGATCACGAACTCCAAAATCCCGGTCTTCTGTGTAAAGAGATGGAATCCACGAATACTTACCCTAAAAGCACATGACTTAAATCACTGATTTGCTCATACTAACATGTAAGTGACCAAAGGAAGCTCTCCTCGATAAAATTTGGTTTAGTATGAATTATTCAATTTCACAAGGGGGTTTGAGGATGAGACTAATAACTCAGCCAACACTCGCTCTCGAATACTTCCCCCAAGACGCTGAAAACTCGGTTTAAGAGTGATATGCTTGCGTTAGTTTTGAGAGCACCATTATATGAACCAGTGAGGATATTCTCCTGTATTGATTCAAAGAAATGATCAATGTATTGATCGTCAATACACTGCACTTAGCTGTCCGAAAAGGATCACGAATTAATCAGGAAAATCGATGGATTCTAATGATTGTAAGTTTATCCTGCCGATTACCCTTTGGGAAGGAAACTCGGGGTGTGAGGTCTTGGAAACGGATGTGTAGACGTTTCAACAGGAACCTCAGCTATCTACATTATGTGGTAAGCATGCAGAATATGACTCCTCTGTTCAAGTGACAAGTTCAACAAGGTTTTGAGGTATTGATTTATTCTGCTCGAAATAGTTTCTCTAGAGTGAGAAACAGCGAACAGTTTGAAACTTCAAAACAAGGCAGCTAGGTTTCATAGCATAAAAACAGGGGCGCCGATTTAAAGTGGGGACCAAAAAATGTGACTAATCTACCTCAACAACAAGGATGTTTGTTGTGAGCAATAGTTTTCAAACAAACCCCAAATAAATCGATGATTTTGAATGACCCACGGAAAAAATCATTGTTGTGTTTATATGGCTTTTTGTAGGCGTTCGTGTCCAATCAGAATACCATTCAAAACGTACGGTTTTAATGTTTTAGCGATAGCTCACTGGTCGATACGAAAATTTATCAAACTGAAATATGAGGTTTGAACCCAAACTTGATATACGAACTACTCTTGCCTTTAGCGAATATACACTCATTTGCAAACTATTTTGGTTTTTCGAGAGACTCACCTGGAACCCAGCTGAACCTCTCGTTTGGTTTCAAGTAGAACTTAAGGTTNGGGGACTGCGCCTACCTGATGAGCCCTGAAAAGGGCGAAACCGTTCGTGGGCTGTCAATGGATTTTCAGCAACCTTATGAGTAGTGCAGTACGAGGATATACATATATCGCGATATCTCGAATATCGTAGCGTCTGGGACATGAGGCGGCCTGGTGCAGCGCATTCAGTTGCCTGAGAACGTCACAAACGAGTGATTCAGCTGGGTTCCAGGTGAGTCTCTCGGACAAACCAAATTAGTTTGCAAATGAGTGTATATTCGCTAATTTCGTGCAATTTGGTTTCAAATAGAACTTAAGGTTGACGGAAACCCGGGGACTGCGCCTACCTGATGAGCCCCAAGAAGGGCGAAACCGGTCGTGGGCTGTTGACGGCTTTTCAGCAACTTTATGAGTAGTACATTACGAGGATTTACTCTTGCCTTCATTTGGCAACCTCATAGCCTCTCAAACATCCTGTTTACTTTGAGTGGTACGGCGGCCACGTGTTGAAAGTGGCTGAACAACTGTCGTGCCCACATACAACCCTCTGTCCTTTGCCAAATTATCAAGCCTCCTGTGAATAGAATTCCCGTCCCATATGTGGATCACGTGGATCACGTTGTTAATCATTCAACAATATAGCCATTCATTTGAAATGGGTGGGAAGACACTAGTACATCAGAAAAACGTTTTGGATTAGTAAGCATCACGCCTTTCAGTAGTTGTCTGCCACTGGTTAACAATTACGAAATAATACGAGATTCTGTAGCCTACGATAAACTTTATTCTTTTAGAAAATTTAAACTCTTCGATTCTGTTAGCTCCAAGTATACTTTACTGAGTCTTGGGACAGACCAAGGTGTCCCAAATGAAAGTTCAGTTGAATGCTAAACTCCAAGTTTTCGTCGGAAGTTTTATAAAGGCAGGCACCGAATTAAACTTAAAAATAACGTTCCTAGACGGTAGGTTTGCTGCTGGTACATTGCTTTAACAGCTCAGAGTTTGTCAGTTTTTTTGTGTGTACAAAATACGACAACAAATGTGCGTGCGAATTTCACCTTCCCGATAAAAAACCAAAACAGCCGTTGTTTCGCAAGGGCAAACTCTCCACCCCCTGCCACACACGCACATTCGAACAAAGCACTGTGGCTGGAAGATGATAGATAATAAAAAATCTGTCATTGAGTATCTCTTTGAAAATGTCCAAACGCAGACAGTTGTATCATGCACCGAGTCACTCTACTCGTGCTGAGCCAGTACGCAACTCAGGGAGTGACAGGAAGAGAGAGAGAGTAGACATGAATATTTTTTCTCTTCACACTGTATTACTTCCAATAGGGAATAAAAACTATTTGACTGTCCACTTCTGATTTCTCCACAATGCCATTGGTTTTTCGTATGCGCATGGGCGCTTGGGCGTACAAATTTGATATTTATTTCATACTGGTCAGTTAGAAACCAAAATGCCTGCTAACAACCTGAGCATTCGAACTAATATATGTGAACAAACCATCCTTTCGGTATAAATTTTTCGGTGAGGTGGCCGGGTTTGGCCCGCAATCTTTTCAAGGCTTTCACGCAATGCCACCGAACGGATGCCACACTAGAAAAGAACAAATTCATGGCTCTGAGAAATTTGTTGCTGTCTGTTTGGAGGTCAACGTCAAATGGTGTCTTTCAAATAAAGGAAATACACATTCAAATTCTCGTACCACAATCATGTTAAAAGTGGAGAGTAACTTCAGAAGATGAATAAAGCTTTCCTTGAAGAAATTGGCGAAATACTCTCATTTGCAAACTTTTGTTGACGACAGTCTCTTAATGCCTCCTTATTATCGTGAACCGCAATCTGGACAGCCGCTTGAACGCCTGGTGTGCTTAGCCAAGCCAGAAAGTCAATAAACGTGCGAGTCATCTGCTGTATTGATCACCGCTGCGCACAAGCGGCCAAAAGTGATACTAAGAATACAACTCATCTGTCAAGGGCGAGTGAAGGACAACCAATGAAATCTGTGTCAACGAAAACGGTTATTCCATTGGCCGTTATGTAATCCCGTTACGTTCGGAGCTGGTTCCCATAGTAAAAATAAGTTTGGTTTTACGAGAGATTCACCTGGATCCCGGCTAAATCTCTAGTTTGTGATGTTTCCTTAAAGAAGATGGCACTCGAAAAAACCAGTCCGCCTTTCCGTTATTGAAGGATGTGCTCCGCTGTGTTCTAAGTTGAAGCTAGCCGCACTGCTCACCAGCTGCTTATGTCCGAACTGTTCAGTGTCGGACTACTGACCGAAACGTCATGGATTCTGAATTTTTTTGAGAGCCGCGCTGTTTCTTGGCTTTTCAGCATACGTTGACTTCACTAACACGGCGCAGTCTCTTTTGAAACGGACTACTTGTCTTGAAAGAAGGGATGTCTGACCGCTATTAAACAAGATTTACAGCATTTTTGGAGACAAAATGATGCCTACTCAACCACACTATTCCTATTTTATAAAACGGCTTGACGAAGGAAATATAAGTGACACGCAATTAAACGGTCTACTAGCAAGGTTTGTCACAGGTTGTAACATAACTGTTCAGCCCTAAAGGGCCTATGCAACTCTCAGTTTCACTCAGTGAAAGCCAGTATGGTTTACGCGATTTGATGGCTTGAATTGCAACAAATTGGTATGAGCTTAAACCAACAGTAGACTCATTTGCAAGGATACTGAGACTATTGACTGTTGATCAGGCGACTGTTGACCTTATCGCTGAGGGTGGCCAATGACCTGTTGACATTTCGCGCCATACCGGTCTAACGGTGCGCTGTACTGATGAGACATGCGAGAATTCAAAGTTCCAATGTCCAATAGAAGATGAAGGTTATAACGGAAATTATGGAACCGCTGTGCAGTGTTTGTTTACTATTGTTCAATATTCAATGAACGTCTAAGAACTTTCAAGAGGACGCTTGAGTATGTTCACTTTCCAAAAACTCTATTCAAACGAGATAGTAATGCTGACATCCAATTGGTTGAAACCGCTTAGTTTGTATTTGATGATAGACAAATTCGCATCGAAGAGCGTTCATTATTTCAACAGAAGACATCAACAATGCCTAGTTGGGTGTGCACTAGAGATATCCCCTTGTTCGCAAGTGATCTGCCAAGGCCAGGCAGCAGTCACATGACCAGCAGCCAATGGACTTATCCGAGCTACGAATAGTTCGTCAGATTAGAAACACTGCAATTATCAGCGTCAAACCGGTTCTGTTGTCCTTTGGTGGTCAGTCTTTGTTTTCCCATATTTCAGAGGGCTTGGCAACATAAAACATCTACATTAGAACTGACCTGTTACAAATCTCGTAGAAATCTGCAAATCGATTTGGTTTTCATGAGAAACTCAACTGAATCTCTCGTTTATGATATTCTACAATTGAATGTGCTGAACACAGGCCGCCCCATGATTCAGTTGGCAAGATATTCGAGATATCGCAGTATATATTTACACAGGAAACTACTCACAAGGTTGGTGAAAACTCTTCGACGGTCCACGACTAAATTGATTAGCAAATTAGTGTATTTCTAGAAAACGGCACAATTTGGGCTCAAGTAGATCATGAGGTTGACGGAAACTCGGGGACTGCGCCTACCTGATGAGCCTCAAGAAGGGTGAATCGGTCGTGGGCTGTCGGAGAGTTTTCATCTACCTTGTGAGTAGTTTCCTTGTAGAAATATCTTCTAATGAGTAAGGTAAGTGTGTGTACGTGTGTGTGCCCGCAAAGCTCTCACGGTCGGATATATTCACCCAGTGGTGTTTTGCTGATTATTCTGTTGTCGAATTAAGAAGAGATTCACATCAAACCCATTTGCGATGAACGCGAACTGAATGAAACGCACTGAGTCATTCGTGTGTCTAAGCAGCCTTGAAGACCAGGATTGTCACTTTCGCAGTCGGTAAAAGACCACGGGCAATAAAAACAAGCTTGGCTTTAGGCTTTACACTGATCAATTGACATTCTTCTGGTTCGAACACGTCTGCTAAAAAACAACTGAGCCTACCCCCCAAAGGATTCTGAGGGACCTTGTAATCATAAGGGTACTGATTCAGGCATCGAGAGTGAAAATTAAAAAAAGATGGCGTATAATTACACGAAATTTCAGAATGGCTAAACTGTGAAGCGGAAGTTGAAATAACTGGGTTTTTTATGCGTTTGACGCCACCGCTTCACTTAAAACTAACGAAAATGCGCATCTCGTAGCGTGCATTTCAATGAGCCTTCTCATGCGAGCAGGCCACAATTGACTGAGTAGATAGTGTGTGTTTGTCTTGTCCTAATGCTCCCTCAAAAGGCTCGTTTGGTGGTTCATGTATGGTTCGTTTCTATGCAAATAGCCTGCACCATCGCCCTCTTGAGCTTCACCGTCAGCCTGTATGGATAATCGATTGAATTCCGTTTTCATGTATCTTGCCTAAAGCATGCTTAGCAACGTTTTCAACTAGATTTCAGCGAATTGATGAGTCCAAGGAATGGCGCAACTGGTCGTGGCTTGTCGAAGAGTTATCGCCAACCCTTGGAATAGTGTGTTACTGCTAGACAAAAACGCATTGTGATATCCCGAAAACCGCAAAAAGTGAATCATGAGGCGGCCTGGTGCAATGAATTCATTTACGGAGGGCCATTCCAAACGAGAGATCCGGCTGTATCCAACTGATGGTCTGACAATTTCCGTCAACTCCGTGAGCCACTGACAGCATTTGACGAAACCTATCCTATTTGGGTTCAAGTAGAAGATAACTTGTTGGAAACTGGCGGGGTGCCGCTGTGTGATGGACCAATCCCAAGAAGAGCGAAAGCGTCGTGGACTACTAAAGAGTTTCCACCAACCTCATGAGTAGTGTGTTAATGCTAGGCGACGGACGAAGCTTTCTCGAGATAAAGAAACAGTCACAGTAGTTGCTACATAAACTAACCAATCATTTTCTGAACAGTATTGATTTTGTTTGAGGCAGCAAATTTAAACAGATGCAGAACCATGTGTATATAATGGTTAGTTTAGTCTATTAATTTAAGAACTAAAATATCCTCACCTGTACAACTTCAGTTACGTCACGAATTATATTGAATTGTAATCATACAGGGGTAAGTCTTTGTTGATCATGCAGTTTTCAGTCTAGAAACCAAATGTTACTTTCGATTTGGACAGCACAATGACGTAAGCAAGTTGTAATCTTATCTCCGCTTTTGGTAGAGCAGACAATTCAAGCGTAGTTCCGGTGACTGGTGATCAATAAACCAGATCTTAATAGGCTTTCCCAGAGCCTCTGATATTTAACAAGCTGGAACATGTTTTCCCATCTTTCAGGGTAAACGCGGTCGCAAACTGAAAGCTTGAGCGTGTGCCCGTTTTAGTTTGATACAAGTAGCACGGGATGATAACTCAATACCTACAGATAATCCACTACGAGTTTCACTCCTGTTTGGCAAATATCAGCTGATCTTAGTCCCCGGATATGAGTTAATCGATACGTCTTAAGCATCGGTTTGTCGCATAGTTTTATTTGAGCTAATAAGAAGGGGTAAATCTCTCATAATTGTGCCTGGATAGAGTTTTCCAATGCCAGTATCATAATGGTAACCTTCCGACAAAGTTACAGGTTTCCCGAGCTTTAGTTGCAGTGGTGACCAGTCAGGATTATTGAAGCTGAAGTTTGGGACTACTACTGTTTTTTGTGAGTGAAACTCAATAGCATTATTTGACATACATTCATTTGAAACTTTTATATCTAGTCGAAATCATCAGCCTTTTTTTAAATGAGAACCTGTTTATTGGGTTCATTAACCCATAACCTATTTTATTCGCTACCAACAGCAATGATTGCATTTCAAATCACGCAGACAACTGCTTTTTTCCTTGTTTGACGTCACTGTTAACAGGAAAATTCCGCAAACAGAAGTGTGTAGTCGGTTTTATTGAAAAGAATCTGGACGACCAAGTCGTTAAAAATTACTTATGCATTCTTTCAAGTTGCTTGCTTTGATTTTTCTGAAGAAGAACGGTGAACTCCCTTGGGTTTGTTCAGAGAAGGTCCCATCAAGGGTGTTTACGTGACAGTGTGTGTTTGAAAGCGGTGGGTCTTACTTTGTTGTCATGGCAGGAAAAGGGTACAAACTCCAAAGAATTATCGGAGGGTAACTCCAAAACACGCAAGAATAACATATATTCAAACTGCGGTTACTAAGAGTGTGCATTCACACGGCAGAAAAAAACACTACGATCGATTTTAGACTCAATGTTCTAAGAAGAGTTTAACCACAGCTGGGAAAGAATACGGCACCGATTTGACCTCAGAGTAGTAAACTTTGACTCTGTCAAAATCTGTCATGAAAGAAACTGACAGTAGTAGGCATCACATCACACAATTCGGAGTGTAGCTCGTTCTCTTCACAAAACTATCGAGTTCAGGAAAAACACTTTCAACAACAGCTTGTTTGCTCATTTTTGTTTGCAACAATATTGAGGTTGTACTTTATCACCCCCATCCATTCAAATAATCAAACGACAGCTGTGACTTTGTTTGATGGTATCCTCAAGGGTAAGGCCAAAAAAACATTGACTAGAATCTCCAATGTGATGTTGTGTAAACCTGTACTAACGTTGTTGGCAGGGTTGGAGGAGTGGATAAATTAAGCGGTGATTTCGTTATGTAAATAAGGTCCATGTGTGCCGAAAATAAACCAAGAAACACTGTATAGAAGTTTCATTCTTATTGGGACTTTTCAGCAGTGCACATCTCATCAAACTTCAAGGTGTATTGAACTCAGGACCTACTTACTAGTCGCTTGGAAAATCAAACAGTCGGCTAAAAATTTCCTAGATTTTCGTGAGATTCGCTCCGCGGACGATTTCCAACAAGAATAAAGCAGCTGTACAGTTCTTCTCTGCTCTTCAACGCAGTTGTCTGGAGACATCAAAACCGAGAGATTCAGCTGGGTTCTGGTTGAGTCTCTCGAAAAATCAAGTTAGTTTGCAAATGAGTGTATATTCGCTGATTTCGTGCAATTTGGTTTGGAAACTGGGGGAATGCGCCTGCCTGATGAGCCCCAAGAAGGGCGAAACCGGTCGTGGGCTGTCGAGGAGTTTTCAGCAACCTTATTAGTAGTGTACTACATACACTAACACTCCATACACTAACACCACGTTTCTCACGGCGCGTGAACAAGCACGAAAAGAACAAAAATGCATTTTTTCTATCCAGATCAATATTTTTTTAAATTTTCCAGGCGTAAAATATGATCGAGCAGATGGTGTTTGACAACACAACAAACAAATTTATTTGAAATACTCCAATAGCCAAACCAGCCTGGTCTAGAATATGTGAACAACTTTCATTGCTTCCAGACTTTACTGTCATTTGTGGGCATCGCGTTTCTGTCAGGAATCGAAAAATACAAACTAGCTTCAAACTCATACGTCTACTACACGAAACGCAGAGTTTTACCCCATTATCAACCAGAGGGAACTTTGCACATGTCGGATTTAGTGTTACACTAATTAACGGAGAAAAATATGCAACGCAAAAAATCTCTTACCTGCGTTTATGTTCTACGCTTCTTTCTGTAACCCAGACACCTTGCAATGAGGGCGATCGTCCCCAGAACAACACCCAGAATGGAGTAGGTAACCAGGATTGCTAGACCAGCATTCATTCCGATATTGAAAGGATTTCGATCGTAAAAGATATACCGATCTGGATTCTGCAGGGCCTCCTCGAGATTGACCATCTGAGCGGATTGAAGTAGACTTGTGAAGAGAAACGAGGCTAAGATGATTGAACGACTCATTTGTGGAATTCTCACTACCGAGTGCCGATCGAAAGGGCTTATGAGTGCAGATTATGTTCTGAGTAGACCAATCACGTTTGTTCGATTTTTATTGGTGCATTGGTGAGCGGTGCGATGTCAACTTGACATTCGGTAATCGAAGAAGCACCCTCCTGAGGTCATTCATGTCTCCGGCATTCCACGGATCGATTAAGAATTGCATGTATTAGTGTGAATTGCGTACGCCAGTGAAAACTGAAGCAACTCGAAACCATTCATTTTTTGAATTTTTTTAACTTGCTACAGTCTGCGCACTGAGACGTAGAATAAGGTGGATCAGGAAATTACGCCGTGGCTACCAAATATCTGTAAGTGGATTGACTGAGCCGTGTGCACTCCTGGAAACTGGTTTCAAAGAAACGACCTTGAAATAAAAACTCAAAAGAAGTTGAAAAGTTGTTGAATTCGTGGCTTACTGGCTTTCTGTCAGTAAATTAAGTAATTAGATTTTTTATTTCAGTAAGGAGACAGTCAGTAAGACTTCCGCCGAAAGACTTACGTTAACTTTGTGCAAACTCTGTTCAGTTTCTTTTGAGTGGTTTACTTTACTGACGAGTAAACAGTGTTTTTTCGGGAGGATCATATTCAACGCTCTATGAGGACCTAACAGAGGGAATGAGGGAACAGCGACTGTCGGAAG